GAAGTGATAAAATTAACCAAAACTATAAAAGGGGTAAAACTATTAACGATTGAAGGTTACCTTGGAAATCATACATTACCCAAGGATTGGTATCGAGATTAAACCTTTATTTTGAAATTTTGGTACTGTTATTAGGAATGTAAGGTTCCATTCTCAAGATAACCTTGACGAATCAAATATGATGATGCTATGTCAAAATTTGAAATCTTATATTATTTGAATTAAACACCTTTAAGCGTACGAATAAAAATTACACAGTAATTGGTTTGAGTAGAATTATATATAATTAAACGAATATAACATTTTTGATCGTTCATTATTGTTTATAGATTTAGGATTTTGAAGAAGGTTGAAAATGAATGAAACATAAGTTTATAGTTGGATTGATATTTTGTTCAAAGTTTAAAGTCAAATTAAAATCAATCAATTTTTTAATTTGTCAAGTCATCAAAGTGACAAAAATTAACAGTTCAATGATCAAATTATAACAAACTGTTAACGTAAATAATCATAATATCTTTTTATTTAAAACTTTGGTGATCAAAATTAAACACAATTAACATAAAAGTGACCAATATGGTCGTTCATCCAAATATTTTGTATATTCTACTAAAAAATATATTGTATCTTTGATTAAACCGCAATACAAAAATTGATGAAATTTTAAAGAATTTTTGTATCGTAAATTTTATTTTAATATAATATATTGTCTTGCATGTTTATATGCATTTTTCTTAGCCATTGATAAAGCATACCCGATTTATTAACATAGTTGCTCGAACTCAGAGCCTCTAAATAAAATAATATTTTCTTTAATTATTAAAATCGATTGATGGATTCACATACAAAATTTATCTCATAAATATGTAATATTGTTATATCCCAAATCCTTGAATCGTGACCGTGACATGGAATTCTTCCTCTCCCTTTCCCTGTACCTAGAAAGGCTGTTCTTTGGATTGTTCTCCTTAAATGGTTTTGGGAATAATTAATCGTATCTAATCATATCTAATCCTTCTATACAAGGGCAATAATGTAGGGTACCCTAAACCAATTTGGAAAGCTATTAGCCATTGGAAAAGATTAACCAATCTGTTGCACTGAATGCGACTTTTACAAATTGCAAGGATCTTATGCTCCAAATTGCAACCGTAATTCATTGAATCATTGTCCCTCACTTATTTAAACAATTCAAATTTGACGGTTCACGTTTCAAATCATTGCTTTAAACCCCCGCCAAGCACTTCATGAATGGATGGTCAATACCTTTTCCTTTTAGTATTTTAAGTAATTAAATAATATTTTTGGAATACAAAATGGATGGCCAATATCCTTTACATAGATACAAACATAGGCATAAATTAAAAGAATTATTATATTAATAGGGAGTTTAAAAACAATCATATAATTTTATGTTAAGATATAAACTCATAAAATTTTAAAAAATGAAAATAAATTATTAATAAAATTTATTTAAATTTATGAAATTTAAAGTGACGCGATTATTACTCTGCCTACGTTAATAGATTTATTTGATAAAAAATACCCTAAAAGAAAATAAAATAAATAAGTTAACCCATAATTAAATGAGAACACAAAAATTAAACCTCGAGTTATTATATCCAGAGACAAATACAAGATTTTATGTTAGGGTGGACGAAATTATAAAATTTTAAATAGGGGTAAACTTATAAAATTTGGTGAGGACGAAATATATTTTCAATAAAAATACAAAAAAAACATCTAAAAATTATAAAAAATTTGAAAATTATAAAGAGACAACTGTCCCATATGCCCCCTTTAAGTCTATCCCTGATTATATCTAACCGTGGTGATAGAAGTAGGATTTCAAAATATTTCTAGAAGCCCATAATTAAATTAGAACTAGAAAAATAAACAGCGGGTGATTATATCTAAACCGTGGGTGATGGAGGGAGAAGGAATTTAAATACATTTCGTAATTTTTGTTAACTTCTATTACGGATATTAAATTAATAAAAGTGAAAAAGTACATTTTAAAATTCCTCTTTTTATATAAATTATAAAATTTCAATTTAATTTAATTAAATGAATTTATTTATAAATATAAATAGACGAAAAAAATGCAGATGAAGGCAATATGCTCACACGTAAGCCTTTTAAACTTGGAACACGTAACGTAATTAGACGGGTAATTTAAGATGGTTTTGAATTTAAAATGTTATTATATTCAATCTAAAAATTTATATAAATTTAAAACTTTTTTTGTTACAATTAAAAAGTTATATTTTAGGAATCTAGGACTTACAATAAAAAATATTATTAAGAACGTAATATTTTCGATTACAATCAGAAATTTTATAAAGTGTATGATATTTTTAATTATATTTTTATTTAAAAATTTATTTTATCTAACTTAAAAATTTAGACTCTTTGTTAAAGAAATTTATTACAATTAATTTTTACTAATTTTTAACCTTATATTAATAACTTGTATGTTAGAATTTTAATAAGAATGTGAGAAGATTATTGTAGGATCTTAATTAGAACAAAGATGCGTGGAAGTCACGTTGACCAGCCGACAGCTCAAACCCAAATGTCCTTTCATTCTTTTGGGTCAAAATTACACTTTTCAGTTTCCATGGATATTCATTCAACAAGTGTTTCTTATTTCTTAAGGAGGCGCGTCATCGCCGACGTCACATCCGTGTCAAAATATTTTACCCGGCCGAAGAAAAATGAAAGACGAATCTTTGTTTATCGGACAAATTATCCAATATGTCATGGTATTATGAGTACATTTAAAATTAGATTGTTGTATTTTTAAAAATTATATTTGGATCATTCTATTTATCAAGATAACAATTTAGTTACTTTATAAGTGTGCAACAGATGTAATTTTTTGGGGATAAATTTATATTTTAATCATTCAACTTTTGATTGTGAGTCAAATTTTTTTTAAAAAAAATTTATTTTCTCGTTTCTAACAAGTTGTAAGATCAACTATTCATTATTTTGGTGGTGTTCTTAGACAAATTCTTTTCGATGCTTTTATACTCCATAAATATTTAAAGAAAATCATTTTTTGCTTGATTGTTGCACTGTCATTTGCTTTTGTTGTTTGCCTCTTCACAGTCATCGTTGTTGCTTATAGATTTATAACATGTCAAATTAATTTAATAATTGATAACGTGATAAATTTTCTGTCACTGTAGAATTAAAGTACGAGGATACTATTTGCTGCAAGGTCATCGACGTATAAAATATTTTAAAATCAATGGGTAGATGTTACTGAAACAATCAAGTATAAAATATTTTTCTTGTATTTTTTTTATAGATTCATAAAATATCACAACATCGAAGATTTTTTATCCAAGATGAATACTAAAATAATACAAAAGTGATCTTATACGAACTTATAAGAAATTATAAAAAAGATAAAAATAAATCGACTTGCAAACGAAAATCAACTAACTAAAATATAAACTTACTCATAATTAAATGACAAAAGCAAAAAACAAAGTTAATGTGTAATACACATTTAATGACAGAGTGACGTGATTCTACCAATGAATGAATATAATAATTCGATTATAGTTTTTTGAAATAAAATGACCTAATTATAAATTTACTCATAGTACAACGACTTGTGGTATAATTTACCCTTGTTTAATTTACTGGAATTTGGATACCAATAAGTTTTCTCCTAATATAAAAACTCTGAGCAAAATTCAACCAACAAGTTGTAAAGGGGAAGTTGTTTTTCTCTTTTTATGAGATATTTTTTTTTTCTCTTATAATAACTGAGGTGGTAATTTGGAAATAAAGTAAATCTAATTAACCTTTGCTTAACCCGTGGAATCTTCAAAACATAGATGGATCGAGTGAGAGAGTAGATATATGTAGTCTTTTCTTTTAAAATTTTTAAATTTTTATATATTTTCAACTGAAAATCTATTTTTATCTTTCTAAAAATTTATAAATTCGTCATTCAACATAAAATCATAAGTTCGTTTATATTTTAAAATATATTTTTTTAAAATTTATAATGATTTTCTCCATTTATATTAAAAATTGATTCCACTTAAAAGAAGAGAAAAATAAAGTAGTGATACAAGAAAATAATAATAATAAATAGAAATGGAAAGCGAACGATGTAAAGAATGGACCACAAGAATTGACACTACAGTGGCTTCGGCCAATGCTATATGCAACATTCATATCAAGTGGACCTAACAGTCTATCCCCCATGTTTTTCATATTCCATATTCTACCATTCTATTTCAATGGCAAGGATCGATCTTAATTCTTTTCATGTTTGTTTCTTTAAAATTAGATTAGTACTTGGATATTTTTATATAAAACCACACTTTTTCTTTCATTTTGATGGGTAGATTTTTAAATAACTATATTTTAAAAATTATGAGAAAAAATATTAAACGTCGATCTTATTTTTTATGTATCTCTCTTTTTCTATGATTTATGTTTAAAATTTATAAGCTATTATTGAAAATGTAATGTAGTTTCTTAATATAATTCATGCTTATTATTGAAGTTCTAATTTTTTTAAGCCGAACATTTTTTTTAAGTTAGTCACTTTTTTTTAAGATTGATATTATAATTAACGATTAATTTAAAATTAATGTCGACAATGAAAAATATAAGAAAATTAAAAGAACAAAAGTGTAAGAGAAAAAAGATAAAATTATATTATATATTTCTTAAATTATTTTATTAGAAGATTATTTTAAAATTCATAGATAGAGATAATATGACAAATTTTTAGATAAAAGAATAAAATAAGTGTATACGAATCAAACAATCTCAACAATAAAATAATAATAATAATTATTTTTTAAAATTTTAAATTTAAACACTAAAAATATTAAATATATAATTATTTAATATTAAATAATTAAAAATTATCTCTATACGTTATATTTATTTAACTCAGAAATAATATGCACCAACAGACAAAGTCCCGGTGAAACCAGATTGTTTTAAAATTATTTTTCTTTAACTTCCTTCCCCTATAAATCCTTGACTAACCAACACCAAATTTCCCTGGAAATCCCAGTTTCCATGAAAGTTCTTGGGACATCTGGACCTTTAACTCTCCTTGTATATAGCAACTCTCCTCCTTTCTCTTATCCACACTCTTCTCCATCGATTTTCTCATCAACCAAACATTGTTACAACCTTCACAAATCCATGGCTGCTTGTATTGATACCTCGAGAACAACCAATCCTTCCCAACTTTCCCAGCGTCCAAACACGTCTCAACCTGATGGAAATCATTTCAGGTATGGAAATCTCTGCAGTCCCCCTTTTCCAAATCATGTTTCCAGCGAACCCTTTAATAGAAACCACACAAAAACCGTCCCCACAAGAAAATTTGTTGATTTTTCTTTCGAATAAGAGGTTGGTGCTTTATGGCTGACAATGAAGGAAGAAGCAAGGTTAGATATTGAGCAAGAATTTGTGTTGTCAAATTATTATTACACCTCAATCTTGTCTCAGAATTTATTAGAGAGTGCTTTAGCCAGTCATTTGTCAATCAAATTATGCAATTCGAGTCTTCCTAGGAGTACTCTATTTGATATTTTCATGGCCGTGCTCGTGGAAGATCAAGGAATTATAAAAGCTGTTGAGGAAGATTTGAAAGCTGCTAAAGAAAGAGACCCTGCCTGCATAAGTTATGTGCATTGCTTTTTGAACTATAAAGGGTTCCTAGCATGTCAAGCACACATGGTAGCCCATAATTTATGGTCCCAAGGGAGGAAAGTTTTGGCCTTGCTGATACAAAATAGGGCGTCTGAGGTTTTTGCTGTGGATATTCATCCTGGAGCTAAGATTGGGAGTGGCATATTGCTTGATCATGCTACTGGAGTTATTGTTGGTGAGACAGCTGTGATCGGAAACAATGTGTCGATTTTACATAATGTAACATTGGGAGGAACTGGTAAGGCTTCTGGTGATAGACATCCAAAGATTGGAGATGGTGTTTTGATCGGTGCCGGTACTTGTATTTTAGGGAATATTAAGATCGGAGATGGAGCTAAGATTGGTGCGGGCTCAGTTGTGTTAAAGGAAGTGCCTCCGAGGACTACCGCAGTGGGGAATCCGGCTAGGTTGGTAGGAGGGAGGGAGAACCCTATAAAGCTTGACAAGATTCCAAGTCTTACCATGGATCATACCTCATACATTACTGAGTGGTCTGATTATGTTATTTAGAGGTTCAAATCTTTTTCCGTTTTGAAGGTTTGGAATTTAAACATCCTTTATGTTAAAAGAGAGAACTGAAGTTGTCCTATTGGCAAAATGGCAGAGTTTCTAGTTGATAGCATATATGCTAAGCCGGCTTTATTATGTTATTATATAGGCTGCTTTGTTGTAAATGCGATATAATAAATGCTCTCGTCGGAACCACGATTTCCAATTATTGCTAGTGCATTGCAGCAGTCCTTTTTCAGTTAATATAAGAGCTCTGTTGTTGTTTTAATAGTCGAGTAACTCGGTAAAGTTTAGTTTAGAACATAGTACTGAAATTTAAAAGAATGTTTAGTATTGTATCCTTTTGGATCAAAGCCTTCACTATTTTCCATAGAGGTTTGAGGAGAGTGACTTGAAAATGAGGTACTTGGATTAGAGAATAACATAGATAAACAGTGCAGAGGGAGGGGAGGATTAGAAGGAAGAAAGAAGTTATGATGACAAATCTTCATTACCGTCATCTATTCTGTTGGTATCGAGTGGTCAATGCATAGATTTTATGGTCCAAAACTTTTCAAAATATGCCAAAAAGATTCCTTTTTTTATGAGAAAAAGGTTCTACTTTGTTATTATCTAGTGCATTAATCCCACTTTTTGAGGTATGAGAAATTTTCCTTTGTTATTATTACCAGCTGATACGATTGTGGGTTTGCATTATACTTTTAACTCCACCAAGTTATCAGATGCTGGATACTCTATTTTTTAAAGCAAGTCACCAAGATTGTTGTCCTTTCTTGTAGATTATTACACAGATGAAATTCCTTGTTCAATGCCTCACTTTGAAAATTTTTACTCAGAAGAATGTGTTCTTCAGTTTTAGAAGTTTTGTCTTCCCAGGTTGTTTTTTAAGCTTATCTCACATAAGATAGTTAAATTATGGAGGTTGGAAGAGATTAAGTATATGTTTGATTATAAATAAATCTCTGCTCCAAATATTAAAATCAAGTTTTATTAATTGAAGCATGTGGAAAGAGATTGAATAAAACGAGAAGGAATCTCCATGGTTGATGGACAATAGGTTCATCTTCCTCAATCTCAATGATTTCCATGTCCTGACAATATGCCTATTATTTTACTCCATTCATGTTCCTCATTCCAATATTATATTATAAAAAAGTTTTTTTTCATGTCCTCATATGCATCGATAAATCAGTCCTGACACACAGGCTAGTGTCAAGATTACGCGTGCTGCATAAATTCAGAAGAAACGCCATTTCATCAACACTTTCTCAACTAGTCTTCCTACCATGGTTAACCAACTGAAGTTGCTCCCATTGTCCTCGGCCTTCCTTGTGTTCATTTTCATGGTGTTTAAGATACTGATGAGATCCAAAATAAAGGGCTCACCCCAAAATCTACCTCCTGCACCATGGAAATTACCTATTATAGGGCACTTGCACCTTTTATTTTTCTCTCTTCCCCATCAACGTTTGACAGAACTTGCCAAAAGGAATGGATCCTTGATGCACCGACAACTTGGTGAATTATCACACATTGTTGTTTCTTCTCCAGAGGCTGCTAGAGAAGTTATGAAAACACATGATATCAATTTTGCTACCAGGCCCTATCTCCTTGCTGCAGAAATCATAACGTATAATTTTTCAGATATTATTTTTGGTCCATATGGAGGTTATTGGAGGCAGTTTCGAAAAGTATGCACATTGGAGCTGCTTAGTACGAGACGTGTACAATCATTCCGATCAATTAGAGAAGAGAAGGTATCAAGTTTGGTTAGATCCATCTTTTCTAGTACAGGATCGGAAATCAACCTCGGAGAACTGTTATGCAACTTATCATATAACATCACTTTAAGGACTGCAATTGGCGGAAGATGCAAGCAACATGAAACATTCCTTTCAATTCTGAGGAAACTAGTGGAACTTGCATCAGGTTTTAGTATTACTGATCTGTTTCCTTCCTTCAAATTGCTTCCTGTGATCAGCGGGATAAGAGCCAAACTTGAGAGGATGCACCGCGACTTAGACGAGATGCTTGAAAGCATTATTGAAGAACATAAAGCTAGCAATGCAAATCCGAAGAACAGTGATGATGTAACAGATGATCTAGTTGATGTTCTTTTGCATCTTCAGGATCATGGAGACCTTGAGTTTCCCTTAACAACTGACCACATCAAAGCTGTTATCCTTGTGAGTACTTAGTAGTATCTTGTGTGTTTAACAGTCATATTTAAAATGCTCAATATCAAAGAACTTGAAGCTTGAGATCATTGGGAAGTTCCTTTATTCAGTGTTCAAATATAAGACATTGTTTTATTCAGTTGCTTGAATGTTGTATACAGATGTTATGTAATATAACCTAGTAGAACTGCTTATCAGGACATGATTGCAGCTGGAACCGAGACATCTTCAACTACAGCAGAATGGGCAATGTCAGAAATGATGAAAAATCCTAGAGTCCTGGAGAAAGCACAAGCTGAGGTGAGGCGAATCTATGATGGAACAGGGGATGTTAATGAATCATATGTTCATGAATTAAAATACTTGAAGTTAGTTATCAAGGAAACTCTAAGATTACACCCTCCTCTACCTTTGCTACTTCCAAGACAAAATACTGAGAGGTGTGAGATTAATGGATATGAGATACCAGCCAAGACCAAAGTAATTGTTAATGCTTGGGCAATTGGAAGAGATTCCAACTACTGGAATGAAGCCGATAAGTTCATTCCGGAGAGATTCACTGATAGTTCAGTCGACTATAAAGGGACTAACTTTGAATATATTCCGTTTGGTGCTGGAAGGAGGATATGTCCGGGCATGTCATATGGTATGGCTGTTGTTGAGCTTATCCTTGCGCAATTACTGTACCATTTTGATTGGAAACTCCCTAATCGAATGAAAAATGAGGATCTAGACATGAATGAGGCCTTTGGCATTACTGTTAGAAGAGAAAGAGATTTGTACCTGGTTCCCATTCCTTACTACCCACAGCCATCCGTTCGGTAGTTGTTACATGGTAGCTGTTATTTGGGTTCAATATTCTCCTTTAAAGTGTATTACTGTGCGATTTTCAGTGTATCTTGTTTTAGAAAGAATTTTCAAATAATGTTTCCTTTGCTTGTAACCTGTGGTTGGTGCATGTTAAAAAGATTAGTTAAGTTCAATGTTATTCAGCTGACAGGGGACTCCGTTGTTTGAGTTGTAACCTGCAGTATTAGGTTTGCAATTCTAAAATATGGAGTGAGCAAATCATGCCAGTTGAAATTAAACTTTGTTAGCCACAGAAGTACACAGGGTTATTACAGTTATGCAAGGTGTCTTTTGTCTGGTTTGTTCTTCATAATCTCATGGTTAATCACAATTCTGCTTGAAATTTTAAGATGGTTGGAACTATAAGCAGCAGATTATTACAGATGGAATTTCTGTCTTATTTCTTTTTTAAACCTGTCTCCATTATATTGAAAGAAAACTGTAGTTTGCTTAGCATAAAGAGGGAATATGTATATTACTACAAATCTATTCTATAAATATTTAAATCAAGTTCCAGTTCCATTAAGGCATGTGAAAAGATACTGATACAATAAGAAAAGGGTTCTTCATGATCATGCTTATTATTTTACTTCTTTGATGTTCCTCTTTCCAATATTATATTATAGCAAAAAAAAAAAAAAAGGCAACTTTGTGAAATTAAACATTTTCAGCAATACCTGAACTGTTTTCCCTTTAGTCTTGTTTAACTTTATTATGGGATAAGTTGCTCCCATGGGCCTTCCTCGTGTTCATTTTCATGGCGTTTAAGCTATGGATGAGATCCAAAATGATGGACTCTCCCAAAAATATACCTCCTGCACCATGAAAACTACCTCTTATAGGTCACTTGCACCATTTAGTTCTCTCTCTTCCCCATCACCTCTCGAGGGAATTAGCCAAAAGGCATGGTCCGGTGATGCACCGCATACAACTTGGTGAACATGTTGTTGTTTCTTCTGCAGAGGATGCTAATGAAGTGTTGAAAAAACATGATATCCATTTTTCTAACAAGCCCTTTAGCATCATATGGATGGCTATGCTACTGCAAGCAACTTCGGGAAGCTTGCACATTGGAGCTGTTAATTACGAAACGTACAATCTTTCCGATCAAGCAGAGAAGAGCAGGTATCAAGTTTAATTAGATCCATCTCTTCCAGTAAAAGATTAGAAATCAACCTTTGGAAAAATGTTATGCAACAGCTAAAATAGAAAATGGAGTAATAATTTGGCTTAATATAATAATAAGTGTCCAAACTGTACCATTTTTCTCAAAGTGATGTCAAAACTTTTTTTCCGGCCTTGCGTAGATCCATCATGGATAACCAATTCCACTTTCTTCCATTGTCCTTCACCTTCCTAGTGTTCATTTTCATGGTGTTTAAGCTACGTGCGAGATCCAAAGTAAAGGACTCACGGGAAAAACTACCTCCTGCACCATGGAAACTACCTCTTATAGGGCAGTTGCACCATTTAGTTTTCTCTCTTCCCCATCTCCGCTTGACGGAATTAGCCAAAAGGCATGGCCCCGTGATGCACCTTCAACTTGGTGGATTATCACTCGTTGTTGTTTCTTCTCCCGATGCTGCTAGAGAAGTGTTGAAAACACATGATATCAATTTTGCCAACAGGACCTCTCTCCTTTTTGCAGAAATCATTTGGTATAATTATACAGATATTGTTTTTGCACCATATGGAGGCTATTGGAGGCAGCTTCGAAAAGTTTGTACATTGGAGCTGCTAAGTACGAAACGTGTACAATCATTTCGATCTATCAGAGAAGACCAGGTATCGAGTTTAATTAGATCCATCTTATCCAATGCAGGATCGGAAATCAACATTGGAGAAATGTTATGCAACTCATCATACAACATCACTTCAAGGTCTTCTTTCGGCGGAAGGTGCAAGCAACATGAAACTTTCATTTCAACTGTAAAGGAAGTTCTGGATGTGGTTCATATTTTTAGTATTTCTGATCTGTTTCCTTCTGTCAAATTGCTTCCTGTAATCAGCGGGAAGAGAGCCAAACTCGAGAGGTTTCACCATGACTTAGACGTGATGCTCGAAAGCATCATTGAAGAACATAGAGTTAGCAATGCGAATCCAAATAACAGCGATGATGTAACCGAGGATTTTTTGGATGTTCTTTTGAATCTTCAGGATCATGGAAGCCTTGAATTTCCCTTAACAACTGACAACATCAAAGCTGTTCTCCTGGTTAGTTTTTTGATCTCTCGTATCTTGGACTTGGATATTTATACATACGTGCAAGTCCTATAAACTTAAAATTCTCAAATATCAAATAACTTCAAGCTTGAGATCATTGAGAAATAACATTTATTTAGTCTTCAAACATGTAGTTTAACTGAGTAGAACTGCTTTTCAGGACATGCTCATAGGTGGAACTGAGACATCTTCAACAACAGTAGAATGGGCAATGTCGGAAATGATGAAAAATCCTAGAACACTGGAGAAAGCACAAGCCGAGGTGAGGCGAGTATACGATAGAACAGGCGATGTCAACGAATCGGACCTTCACAGATTGAAGTACTTGAAGTTAGTTATCAAGGAAACACTAAGATTACACCCTCCTATATCTTTTCTAGTTCCAAGAGAAAATACTGAGAGATGTGAGATTAATGGGTATGAGATACCAGCCAAGACCAAAGTGGTTGTTAATATATGGGCAATTGGAAGAGATCCCAACTACTGGAATGAAGCCGATAAGTTCAAACCAGAAAGATTCATCGACAGTGCAGTCGACTATAAAGGGTCTAACTTCGAATTTATTCCCTTTAGTGCTGGTAGGAGGATGTGTCCAGGCATTTCATATGGAATGGCTGTTGTTGAGCTTTCACTTGCACAGTTACTTTATAATTTTGATTGGAAGCTCCCTAATGGAATGAAAAACGAGGATTTGGATATGGCTGAGGCCTTTGGTCTTACTGTTAGAAGGAAAAGAGACCTGCATCTGATTCCAATTCCGTACCAACCACCACCATGTGTTCAATAGTTAGAAATGTATTACAGATGATCTCTTTGTAATGCCGGTGAGAAGATTTTCAGATCACATCTCTATCTAAATAATGCTCCCTTTAAACTGTACCAGGGTTGTAACATGCTAAAAAGAACCAAGTGTAATGTTATTCACAAATTACAGTATCCTCAAAAAACTAGGGTGGTCCCTTATTTCCTTCTTACTTTATGGGAAATGAATTGTAACATAGACCTTGTGAAAAGTACGAAACGTAAACAAGAGACAAGGCATATTATATCACGAGTTCTTGAATCATGTGCCAGTGACATCATAGTAAGATCATTTGGCATTCACATTTTTTTATCTAGATGTATGCACCTCATGTGATCATATAAGTATAAAGTATTAGACTAAGGAATCTCAAAAGTTTTGGCTTAAACAGCCTGAACCATCACTAGTTTAATCCCAAAGAGTATTTCACAACTATTTTGGCTTAAACTAAAGATGCCCTTGAACTAGTAACAAAAGCAACAAGTCTCTCTTCAATATTCTACATTCATGAAGAATCAATTCTTCTCTTTTCCAATACTCTTTACCTTCATTATCTTTTTGTTGATGCTGGTGAAACTAGGGAAGAGATTCAGCTCCAACAACTTGATTCCAAATCTACCGCCAGGTCCATGGAAGTTGACCGTCATAGGGAGCTTGCACCTCCTTGTTGGCGCTCTACCCCACCAAAAATTAAGAGATATGGCAGAGAAATATGGCTCCTTGATGCATCTTCAGCTTGGAAAAGTTCCAAATATCGTAGTTTCTTGCCCACAAACTGCTGCAGAAGTGATGAGAACCCATGACATCATTTTAGTCAGTAGTCCTTTTCTACTTTCTTCTACTATTGTAACTTATAATGCAACAGACATTGCGTTTTCTGTTGGAAATAAAACACTCACACAAACAACTTTTATTGAAACTCAAACAAATATTACAAGAGTACTCTCACTCAAAAACAAGAACTACAACTCACTCTTATAAGACTTTGCTTCTTCACTCACTTAGAAGCTCTTAATTTTTCTTGATGCTTAAAACTAAAATGGGAAGGGGTATTTATACTACTCAAGAACAATCCTACACCACACAAATAAACTAATTTAAACAATTACAAATTCAACAAATATCTAACTCTCACCTAACTAAATTGATGTAAGCAATGACATCATTAATTAAATGATGTAAGCAATGACATCTTTAATTAAATGATGTAAGTAATGACATCAATTTAGTTTGGGTTTGGGTTTAGGCTCCCATAATGGATCAAGTTTATGATCCAACACCCTCCCTTAAACTTGATCTCGTGACCCCTAGTAGGTTCCTTAATCTTAAGAAGTCTTCGCTGGTCAGTGGCTTGGTAAAAATATCAGCAACTTGATCTTGTGACTTCACATATTCAACTTCCACATCTTTTCTTGCAACACACTCCCTTATATAGTGGTAGCGAATATCAATGTGCTTGCTTCGATCATGGAATACTGGATTCTTTGCTAAGGCAATGGCTGACTTGTTGTCGACACAAACCTTGGTAGGCTCTTCTTGTATCAAACCAATCTCCTTCAATAGATTTCTAAGCCAAATTGCATGACAAACACATGAGGTAGCAGCAACATATTCCGCTTCACAAGTGGATAATGTGACAATCGGTTGTTTCTTTGACATCCATGTGAATGCAATATCTCCCATGAAAAATACGAATCCAGTAGTGCTCCTTCGATTATCTATGTCTCCACCCCAATCACTGTCGCTATATCCAACAAGCTTGTAATCATTAGAAACTGAATAGAACAAGCCAAAGTCAATTGTACCTTTCAGATAGCGAAGAATTCTCTTTGCGGCTTTAAAATGGGTGGTTGTTGGGGATTCCATGTAGCGACTAACCAATCCAACTGCGTGAAGAATATCGGGTCTCGTGCAAGTTAGATAGCGTAGACTTCCTACCAAACTTTTGAAGAATGTTGGATCTACACTTTCGCCTTCTTCATGTTTGGTCATCTTGATCCCGTATTCTGCCGGTGTGCTTATTGGCTTACAGTTCTCCATCTTGAACTTCTTCAGTATCTCCTTTGCATAGCTTTCCTGTGAAATGAAAATTCCATCATTTTGTTGCTTAACTTCAATGCCAAGGTAGTACGCCATGAGCCCCATGTCTGTCATCTCGAATTCTTTCATCATCACATCCTTGAATTCATTAAACATGCTTGGGTTGCTTCCAGTGAAGATCAAATCGTCCACGTAGAGGCACACGATCAAAATATCTTCATCTTTGATCTTGATATATAGAGCATGCTCGTAGGGACATTTGTTGAAGCCATTCTCTTGGAAGTACTTGTCGATTCGGCTATTCCATGCCCTTGGTGCTTGTTTTAGCCCGTAAAGAGCCTTCTTCAACTTCAACACCTTGTCTTCATGCCCTTTGACTTCATAGCCTGATGGTTGCTGAATGTAAAGTTCCTCTTCAAGAACTCCATTTAGGAAGGCGGACTTTACATCCATCTGTTGTATCTTCCACTTGTTTTGAGCTGCCAAAGAAATGATTAGTCTGATAGTCTCCAATCGAGCAACAGGAGCAAATACCTCATCATAGTCAATTCCAGCCTTTTGACTATAGCCTTTAGCAACTAGCCTCGCCTTGTGCCTTTCAATCTCTCCTTTGGCGTTTTGCTTTGTTTTGTACACCCATTTGACACCTATCGCCTTATGTCCCTTGGGAAGTGAGGTAAGTTCCCATGTGTCATTCTTCTCGATGGCCTTGATTTCTTCGTCCATCGCATCTCTCCATTTCTTTTCTTGTACCGCTTCTTGAAAGCTCACTGGTTCACAATCGGCAAACAGACAAAATAATGTAAGATTATCTTGTCGTTCAGTTACCTCATAGAGATCTCTAAGGCTTCTTGTGCGTTGCACAACTCTTTCACTTTGACTCCCACTTGACGATGATGAAGGTGATGAGTCTCCTTGAGTGGTTGATGTTGGTGAAGTGGGTGGAGTTGCAAGCTCTTGTTGAGATTCATCTAGTTGCTCCCTCATTGTCTGCTCATCTTCTTCAAACTGAGGAAAGAAATTGAAGTCATCTGTATGAGAGTTAAAATCCCATTCTCCTTCTTCGTTGAAGACCACATCTCGACTAATCACAAACTTCTTATTGTCTGGATTGTACAACTTGTAGCCCTTCGAATTAGCATCATAGCCGATGAAGATAAAACTCTCGCTTTTATCATCAAGCTTCGTTCTTCTCTCGTCTGGTACGTGAACATGGGCTATACTTCCAAAGGTTCTCAAGTGGGAAATGCCAGGCTTTCTTCCACTCCATGCCTCTTGCGGTGTCTTTCCCCATACACTTCTTGTTGGAGATCGATTTGACAAGTAGACTGCACACGATACTGCTTCCGCCCAAAATTCTTTGGGTAGTTTCTTGCTTTTGAGCATGCTTCGTGCCATGTCGAGGATTGTTCTATTCTTTCTTTCTGCCACACCATTTTGCTGGGGGGATCTAGGAACTGTCATTGGTCGACGAATTCCATTTGCTTCACAGAACTCTTGAAACTCCCTGGAAGTAAATTCTCCACCTCGATCGGATCTCATGGCTTTGATCTTTCTACCGCTTTCTCTCTCCACTGCTGCTTTGAACTTCTTAAAGACTTCAAAAACTTCTGACTTCTGTTTCAAGAAATATACCCAGGTTTTTCTTGAAAAATCATCAATGAAGAGAAGAAAATAGTTATTGTTACCGAGAGAGCTTGGCTTGATCGGTCCACACACATCGGTATGGATGAGCTCAAGTGGCTTCTTAGCTCTTGTCTCTGACTCCTTTGGAAAGCTTTTCCTGAATTGTTTCCCGACTAGACACCCTTCACAGAGTTGGTCAGGATGGTTGATGTGAGGTAGTCCTTTCACCATCTCCTTCTTAGATAATAGCTCTAGACCTCCAAAATTGAGATGCCCAAATCGAAGATGCCAAAGCCATGATGCATCTTTGTAGCAAGCTTTCAGGCACTTTGCAACATCATTTTGTATGTTGATCAGAACATTCTATTCTTTGACATCGGCACTTTAGCAATGAAGTTATTCTTATCATCTTTTATAGAAAGATTATAATTATTCATATGAATATCATAACCTTTCTCTACCAGTTGCCCTAAACTTAAAATGTTACTTTTCATATTGGGCACATAGTAGACATTTGAAATAAATTGATGTCTCCCATCTTTCAAACGGATAAGAATGTTACCTCTCCCTTTCACTGCTATTGTGGAATCATCTCCAAACGAAACATTTCCACTTACTGACTCGTCTAGCTCCACAAACATGTCTTTCCTTCCACACATGTGATTGCTTGCACCACTGTCAAGATACCAGGAATTTGCTTGGCCACCATCAGTTTCCTTTCGTGCTAGAAGAAGAGTTTCTTTGCCACCTGTCTTTTCCTCCACGTAATTGGCCTTCTCCTCAATTTTGTTGTTGGGAGCTCTACATTCTGAAGCATAATGCCCAAATTTTTGACAATTATAACATCGAATTTTAGATTTGTCATACTTTGAGTTTGGATTAATTCTTCCACGGCCTCGTGTTGAGCTTTCTCCTTTCTCATAGTTGTTGTTGGAATTGTTATTGTTGTAATTCCAGCCTCGTCCACGACCTCGACTTCCACCTCGTCCATGGCCTCTACCTCTGCCTTGGCCACGTTGGTTTCTATCATTGCGTTGGCTCTCATGCATATCCTTGAGTTGTAGCTTGAGGAGTTGCTCAGTAAACTCATGCTTCTTTTTATGCTTCTCTTCGTATGCTTGCAATGATCCTTGGAGCTGTTCGATCTTCATTTCTTCCAAGTCTTTAGTTTCTTCAATCGTCACGACGATGTGCTCAAATTTGGGATCCAACGAACGGAGTATCTTCTCTATTATCCTCACATCGTCTAACTTTTCACCATTTCTTTTTAATTGATTAGAAACAGCTACTACTCTTGAGAAATAATCTGAAATAGACTCAGATGCTTTCATGTTTAAGGATTCGAATTCACCTCTTAATGTTTGGAGACGAACCTTCTTCACTTGCTCGGATCCTTTGTAAGAGGTTTGCAGCTTCTCCCATGCTTCCTTGCTAGAGCTTGCACTTGAAATCTTTTCAAAACCATCATCATCTAATGCTTGATAGATTAGGTAGAGAGCCTTCTTGTCTCTCTTTCTTGAATCCTTCAAAGTTGTCTTTTGATCTGGTGTAAGAGTAGCAAAAACATCATCATCCGCAGGCTCATTATAGCCTTTCTCTATGATATCCCACACATCTTGTGATCCAAGAAGTGCCTTCATTTTGATACTCCAATTGTCGTAGTTGTTGTTGTTGAGTGTCGGAACTTGGAATGGTGCCATACCATTTGCCATATCTCTCAATATAATGAGATTTTGTAAAATCCGATTGCACGGATGAATCCGGAACGATGAAAAAAACTTTGGAGGGACTTGGACAACTCGGTCAAGAGCTCCAACTCGGCTTAATCGGCTCAACTCGGTGAGTCAACTCGATTTTCTGGCAGCAGTCTTCCGGCGGTGCGTGGCGGTGCGTCAGAACTCAGATTGAGAAAATTCTGGCGGCGTCGTATTCCTCTCGTCGAGACCTTCGATCTTTCCAACTCGCTCTGATGCCACTTTGTTGGAAAAAAAACACTCACACAAACAACTTTTATTGAAACTCAAACAAATATTACAAGAGTACTCTCACTCAAAAACAAGAACTACAACTCACTCTTATAAGACTTTGCTTCTTCACTCACTTAGAAGCTCTTAATTTTTCTTGATGCTTAAAACTAAAATGGGAAGGGGTATTTATACTACTCAAGAACAATCCTACACCACACAAATAAACTAATTTAAACAATTACAAATTCAACAAATATCTAACTCTCACCTAACTAAATTGATGTAAGCAATGACATCATTAATTAAATGATGTAAGCAATGACATCTTTAATTAAATGATGTAAGTAATGACATCAATTTAGTTTGGGTTTGGGTTTAGGCTCCCATAATGGATCAAGTTTATGATCCAACATTTTCACCCTACGGACACTATTGGAGACAGCTCCGAAAAATTTGTGTTCTGGAGATGTTAAGTCTAAAGCGTGTGCAGTCGTTCACTCCGATTAGGGAAGAAGAGGTATCAAAGTTGGTTAGAACAATTTCTTCAAAAGTAGGATCACCAGTCAACCTTAGTGAGATGCCATATTTGCTCATATTCGAAATTGTTTCGAGGACTGCTTTTGGTGGCAAGTGTAAAGACAAAGATGAAATCACATCGGTTTTCAGGGAAGCTACACGTTTAAGTGCAGGCCTCAGGCCATCTCTAACGCTGCAATAATGGGGAGATATCTCCACTTTAGAGTGCTCCAGCCCTGCGCCAAACTCAACTCCACTTTGGCGCAAAATGAAACTCCACGCTAAATGTAGCGTGCTACTGTAGCAACACTACAAAAATCTTTTTATTTATTTATGATTTTTGGTTTTTATTTTATAATTAAATTGTAAAATAGATAAAAATACATTGAAATTAGATGAATAAATATACTAATTTTATTCTACGAAATACACTAATTGATATTTGTGGAATGAATATTCTAATTCGGAGAATTAAAATAAATAATTATGTAACTTATGTTTTTCGCATTATTATTTATGAATGTTTTATTTATACTTTTTATCTTGATATTTTTTAGAAATGTATATGTTTTATTTTATATTTTCAAACTCAATATTATAATAGTTAAATATTGTGAATAAAGTAGAGTTGGTGGTAATGTAAAGATAGCGCTGGAGATGAATTACTGTTTCATCTTTAGAGTAGAGAAAGATATGCGCTAAAGTAGATACGAGGGCTGGAGATGGCCTGAAATGCTGCAGATTTGTTCCCTTCAGTCAAATTTATTGAGTACCTCACTGGATTGAGGCCTAAACTCGAGAAACTGCACCGAAAACTAGATAAGATTTTCGGAAGTCATCAATGAACATAAAGCTTGCAAGGGAACTGAGGGTGAAACAGATGATCTACTAGATGTTCTTTTGAACCTTCAGGAGAACGGAGACCTCGATTTCCCTTTAACAACTGACAACATCAAAGCAGTGATCTTGGTTAGTAAATCCATTTGTCATATACCTTTCACATGTTGCACTGCAAAATCTGATTTGATAACTGATAGTTCATAGTTGATACAACTTCAGGATATTTTCTTTGCTGGGAGTATACATCATTCACAACACTAGAATTGGCAATGTCAGAAATGCTAAAAAATTCAAGAGTTATGCAGAAGGCTCAAGCAGAGGTGAGGTAAGTTTTCAATAGGAAAGGGAATGTTGATAGTGAAGGGCTACATGAATTGGAGTACTTGAAACTTGTCATCAGTGAAACATTTACGTAGCACCCTCCTCTTCCATTGCTACTTCCAAGAGAGTGCTCACAGGGATGCAAAATCAATGGATATGATATACCAGTGAAGTCCAGAGTCATCGTTAATGCATGGGCGATTGGAAGGAACTCCGAGTATTGGAATGAAGCCGAGATACTTTATCCAGAGAGATTTCTCAACAGTTCAGTTGACTATAAAGGGGCTAATTTTGAACTGATTACATTTGGTGCTGGAAGAAGGATGTGTCCTGGCTTGTTGTATGGTATTGCGAATGTGGAGTTACCTCTTGCACAGTTGCTCTATGCCTCTATCATTTTGACTGGAAACTTGGTGGTGGAAGAAAGACGGAAGATCTCGACATGGATGAAGTTTTTGGGACTGTTGTTAGAAGAAAAAGTGATTTGTATTTGGTTCCAACACCTTATTCGTCTCTTAACAACTGAATCAGGCTGGCAGGTTTGCTTGTGATCTTTATATTAAAGTTAAGCCTCTCTACTTTTAGCCTATTGATATCGTTCTCCCATCGGCCTCCTATAGTTCTATGCCTTAAATGTGTTTAGCTTGTATAATCTGTAAAACGTAATCAAAAGAAAATAAAAGCCTGAACCTGTAAGCCATATAATTTCTGGGAATCGACAAGTGGAGTAGGTGTGCTTTGGATGTATTTTAATCAAAGAGATAACATATAAAAGGATGGCAAGGCATCTTGTGATTTTTTAATTCCTTTTTCTATTATTTTGTTCAAATGAATTATTATATTTCAATTCTTAATCTGTCAACTCTGCTATATAGCCAAACTGCATACTATTTTTCTATTATTTTGTTGGACAATAGTTTTCATATTCTTCAATCTCTATGCTTTCCAAGTTCTAACAACGGCTATTGCTATTATTTTATCGCATTGATGTTCCTCGTTCCAATATTATATTATAGCCACTAAAAAAAAGTTTATTTATTCATGTCCTCGTAAGCATCCATACAATTTCATTAAAGAAATAATGCCCGAAAATCAGTCTTGACACACAGGCTGGTGTCAAGATTACGCATGCTGCATAAATTCAGAAGAAACGCCATTTCATCAATACTTTCTCCACTAGTCTTCCTACCACCATGGATAACCAACTCAAGTTTATTATATAAGATCGATTTTATCTTCAAAATCAAAGACAAACAATCTCTAGCCATATTAACTGTATAGTTTCATGTTTTTTAAACTTATTTCACAAGTAAATTGGATTAGGAGGGTTGCTTTTGTCTCTGTAGTACTCGATCCGGATTAATCGATCAATTGATCGGATACATATAGTTATATCAAAAAAAAATAATTATAGTTTGGGAACATGTGATACAATTAAATTTTAATATTATAAAATTATAACACGTAACAAATAGTTTTTTTTTCTATATCTATTTGCCAACAACTAAAACATGTTTTCATTTATCGTAAGTATTATAAATTTATATATAAATTGAAGTGTAATTTTTAAATAAAATAAGAACTATTTCTAAATTAATTGATTGAAATGTTGGATCCTATAAAAATAAAGTCGGTTATTTTACTCCATCTATATCCAATAATAACAAATTAATTCTACGATGAAAATGAAAAGAAACGCATAAACCCACATTGATGAATTTAGGAAATTTGATTTGGTAACCATATAACTATTATCTTTTATATATATATATATCAGTTTTGTTATAATAATAATTATTATTCTTTTAATCACGCGGCGTACTATGTAATTAGGCGTAACAAGTTATTGTGATTTTTCTACACTTGTAGGTATCTTTCTTTAAGTATTAAAAGCTTTAATGGAAAGTTTAATTTTATTAAAAAATAGAATTATTTTAAAATATTTAATATAAATTTGATTGTTAATAAATATATAGACAATATCTTTTAAATACACCATTAAAAATAAAAAGAATAATGTATGTTTGAACCATTTTTAAATGAGTGGGTGCTCAAAGTTCAATGGTATCTAGAATAGTTTTTTTTTTATATTTTAATTATAAAACTTTGAAAATTGATAATTTACTTTTACATTGTTAGTTTTTCATTAGCATGATCTAATTACACAAATAAGAAAGAGAGTTGGTGAAAGTTTCTGGAAGCAGCCAGATTTGAATCTGATTTGGTCCCAAAGAGTAGTTATTAACAAATCACCAGCGTAAAAGTATTTAAAAAATGGATGGAAATGAAACTTTACTAATTAACCAAAGCAATAAGTCTGTCTTCAATATTCTACATTCATGGAGCACCAATACCTCTCCTTTCCAGCAGTCTCCGCCTTCATTATCTTTTTGTTGATGCTGGTGAGACTGGGGAAGCGATTCAGAACCGAAAGCTCGACACCAAATCTACCTCCAGGTCCATGGAAGTTGCCCGTCATAGGGAGCTTGCACCTCCTTGCTGGTCCTCTACCCCATCAAAAATTAAGAGATATGGCAGAGAAATATGGCTCCTTGATGCATCTTCAGCTCGGACAACTTTCCAACATCGTAGTTTCTTCCCCGCAAACCGCTGCAGAAGTGATGAGAACTCATGACATCATTTTCTCCAGTAGGCCTTCTCTACTTTCCACAACTATTTTAACTTATAATGCCACAGACGTTGCGTTTGCCCCCTATGGAGACTATTGGAGACAGTTGCGAAAGATTTGTGTGCTGGAGATGTTAAGTCTAAAACGTGTGCAATCGTTCACTCCGATTCGGGAAGAAGAGGTATCGAAGCTGGTTACAGCAATTTCTTCAAAAGCAGGATCACAAGTCAACCTCAGTGAGTGCTATATTTTCTCACATACGAAATCGTTTCGAGGACTGCTTTTGGTGGGAAATGCAAAGAGAAAGATGAATTCACAATACTTTTCAGGGAAGTGTTACGGTTCGGTGCAGGTTTCAATGTTGCAGATTTGTTCCCTTCAGCCAAATTACTCGAGTATATAACCGGATTGAGGCCTAAAGTTGAGAGGCTGCACCAAAACCTGGATAAGATTTTCGAAAGTGTCATCGATGAACATAAAGCTAGCAAGGGAATTGAGGGTGAACCAGATGGTCTTGTAGATGTTCTTTTGAATCTTCAGGAGAATGGAGACCTCGAATTTCCTTTAACAACTGATAACATCAAAGCAGTAATCATGGTCAGTGAGTCCATTAATTATTTCATATACCTTTTATATGTTGCATTGGAAACTTTGCTCTATTGATTAATGATCCATTGATACGACTTCAGGATATTTTCATTGCTGGGAGTGATACATCGTTCACAACACTAGAGTGGGCAATGTCAGAAATGCTGAAAACCCCAAGAGTTATGCAGAAGGCTCAAGCAGAGGTGAGACAAGTTTTCAATAGGAAAGGTAATGTTGATAGTGAAGGGCTACATGAATTGGAGTATTTGAAACTTGTTATCAGTGAAACATTTAGATTGCACCCTCCTCTTCCATTGCTACTTCCAAGAGAGTGCTCACAGGGATGCAAAATCAATGGATATGATATACCGGTGAAGTCCAGAGTCATCGTTAATGCATGGGCGATCGGAAGGAACTCTGAGTATTGGGATGAAGCCGAGAGATTTTATCCAGAGAGGTTTATCAACAGTTCAGTTGACTATAAAGGGGCTAATTTTGAACTGATTCCATTTGGTGCCGGAAGAAGGATGTGTCCTGGCATGTTGTTTGGTATTGCAAATGTTGAGCTGCCTCTTGCAAAGTTGCTCTACCATTTTGACTGGAAACTTGCTGGTGGAAGGAAGCTTGAAGATCTTGACATGGATGAGGTTTTCGGGGCTGTTGTTAGAAGAAAAAATGATCTGTGCTTGGTTCCAACGCCTTATTCGCCGGTTGCCGGTTGATTTCCATTGCAGTTCTATGGTTTTATGCCTTGAATGTGTTTAGCTTGTAGAATCCATCTGGTGTAATAGAATAAAGGAAAACGATTGTATCAGAATCTAGTCTTGAATAGTACCCCGGGACAATAAGAAAATGAAAAATAGTTTGCTAAACAAAGCTCGACTTTGAATTACAATGTGAGAGAACTTGATGATCTGGTTAAGTAATATACATATAAGGTGTGCTTGAACTTCGAAAACGTGCCCTTATAATTTAACCTAAATCATTAACTCCATTAAAAAATATCAATGATTAATTAAAACATGTCACGGCACCTCTTAATTTTTTATTTTCTTTGTTTATTTTTCAATCCTGTGCAATTTCACAAGACTGCTTAATACGATCTTGCACCTCTTGGGCAAAACTTTTCTAAACTCACGTACATCTAGTGTTATCACCACGTCAAATGATTTTGAACATATTATGGTTCAAATTGATTGTACGGATGTTCACCATCATTTTCTTCATCTTCTTTAGAGAATTCTTTTTCTCTGCTAAGATGTATTGTCTTTTTTTTTATATAATAAAGTATGGTTAGTTGAATTTTTTTTAATACATCACGGCGCTAATACGACTGTTGAGATTTTCTACTAAGAAGGAAACTTTTGTGTTGATATCCCTGAGTGAAACTTCAAGGGGTCAAGAGGAGCCTTGGCTCCGCCATTTTTTTTTGTAAGTTTTAATTAATATTAAAAAGTATATATTTTTAAAAATGAAAAAATTATCCGTCCCTCGATTAAAAGTATAGTTTTAATAACACGTAACGATTTTATTGTATTATCTGTTTATAATTTTAAGAACCCGCCAGAGTTCTTATTCAAAAATAATCCCTACCCAGCTCTCATTATCTCAAGCTTTCCTTGCTAAAACATTCGGATTGGTAAAAACTGGTACTTTTGGGAATCTAGCATGTTTGGTGTCGTTAATTGAGGAAATGAATGAAGTAGGCAGTTAAATCAAATCATAAACTTAAATTATTGTTTGTAAGTGTTATAATATGTGAAGAAAACGACGAGCATAAAAGATTGTAAAATAAAATAAAGAAATTTATAAGGACAAATTCTAAATAAGAAAAAATCATAAATAAAGGATAAACAGTTTTAGTAATACTGAAAAACAAAAATATAAGAGAGTTTTTAATTTTGTAGACACGATAGAAACCTTTAATCATAATTTAATATCTATTTATAATATAATTACGTGATTATAAAGGAAATTTAAATAGTAATAAATCTACTCAAATTAAGTTCCTATTGTTCAACATTTAAACAAAAAGTGTAAGTTTTATACGGATTCAAATTATACAAGCTCCCTCCTTTCCGTTCACATATTCCCCATATTTTATTTTATTTTCTATTAAGCTAGTTGTATCATAATTTTTTAGGTAAACTATGCGTTTAGTACCTAAATTATAAGCTTCAGTTCGTTTTAGTATCTAAATTTTTATTTTTTCAAATCATACCTAACGTTTAGTTTTTGGTTCATTTTAGTACTATGCCTTTAAAAACTTAATGGACAGACTCGTCGATCACTGCGTCTACAGTCGTGACTGTCGTATACGTCGATGAAGTCCAAACTTTCTATCCCATAACTTTTTAAACCCCTAAACGCTATTCTAGCCTCGTTTAACCGGGAAACGCCAAAATCTTCCCAAATTGATGATGGACTCTTTGATTTCTTCATCCTTGGATATCCATGATCCATTGTTTGATGGGCCTGAAATTGGACTAATGTTGGTCTACTCGTCATTCTCTCGTGATCCACCGTTCAGATTGGACATCCGTCCACCGGAGCTATACCACGTCAACCCGTTTGTTAAGTTTTTAACATCGGGTACTAAAATGAAACAAAACTAAATGTTTGGTATGTTGAAAAAAATGAAAATGTAGATACAAAAACAAACCAAAACTGATAAATTAGGTACTAAATACTTAGTTTACCCTAAGTGTTTGTGAGCCAAACCAAATAAAATTTAAATCACCAAACCTCTCTAGCGGTTTATTGGTCAATTATACGGTGTGATGCCTGGTATTTTGGTCAAATATGGGGAAACTACGCATTTAGTCACCAGCTACCACTTTGGTTCCGTTTTGATCACTCAACTATATTTTTCAAAATATACTTACTGTTACAATTTGATCACTTACCGTTAAAAAATAAATATAATTAATGATGTATTTTTTTTATTTTTTAATGATGACATGACATTATCTTATGGTGACACGTCGGCATCACCGTTAATTTTTTAATGATGAGTGACCAAAATGGAACCAAAATATAACTTTAGGTATGTATTTGAAAAAAATAATAGTTTAGTGATCAAAATAAAACCAACGTGATAGGTGATTTACCCTAAAATATTCATGCTTGTAGATCAAAATCAATTCTTACATGCAGTCCATGTGGTGGATGGACTGTATCCGAGTTGATTGGCGTGGGCGTGGCCCTGAATTTGATCCGTGTCGGGCGTAATATCTGCCCATTTGGTTTTGATTCTGAGAAATTAATGTCCAATGGCGTCAACGTGTTTGCATTGATGAATCTGCGGAATAGTGTTAGCTTCTTATATTCAAACTTTTACAAATCTCTAATTTGCTGTCCTACAGATTCATCACGTAAACACGTTGGTGTAGAAAAAATTGACTAAGAACAGTAGCTGTTACTTTTCCCATGGTGGACATACTGCCATTTAGTACAACTTATATCAGTATAAATATGTTATAATACCTGATAGAATGACAACAAACATGATCAAGCAGTAGCTCCATCAATGGCGGATTATAAAATTTCCATGTTTCCTCCATTCATCATCATCCTCACCACCTTCTTATTCTCATTCACGATTACCAGAATCATGAAAACATTGAGATAAGAAACCATTCCCAAGGCTGCCTCCTGGGCCATGGAAACTACCTCTGATAGGAAACATTCACCAGCTTCTTGCTGGCTCACAACCCCATTGCACATTAAGGAACTTGGCTCTCAACCGTGGCCCCTTGATGCACCTGCAACTTGGAGCAGTCTCCACGGTTGTTATATCTTCACCCGAAATCGCCAAAGAAGCTATGAGAAAAAACGATACCGCTTTCGCTTCCAGGCTCTATCAGTTAGCTCCCAGCATCGTATCTTATGACTACTAACATTGTCTTCTCCCCTTACGGTACTTATTGGAGGCAGCTTCGAAAAATTTATGTGACCGAGCTTTTATCCGTGCAGCGTGTGAGGTCATTCAGAAGAGTTAGAGAAGAAATGGTTTCGAAATTCATCGAGACTATATCGTCGTGCCGGAGTTCACCAATCAATTTGAGTCACCAAATTTTCTCATTAACATATCGGATAACAGCCGCGGCGGCTTTCGGTTCAGTATGCAACGAAGAGGAAAAGTTTCAATCTATCATCACAGAAGTTATTAGGCTGGCAACCGGCCTTACAATTGCAGATTTTTATCCTTCAATTAATGCACTTCAGATGGTTAGTGGAATCAGGCCAAAACTTGAGAAACTGCACGGAGAAGCTGATAGAATACTTGAAAATATAATTGCAGAACATAAAGAGAGGAGGATTAACGAAAATGGAAGTGGTGGAGAGGAGAAAGATATAGTTAATATGCTTTTGGACCTTCAAGAGCATGGCAACCTTGACTTTTCCCTATCTTCAAACAACATCAAATCAGTCATATTGGTATGTTTGCTTTAAATCCTCATCCTTCAATAAGTAATTTGCTGAATTCAGATTCACTTTCAGGACATATTTGCTGCGGGGAGTGAAACTTCATCAACAATTGTTGAAAGGGCCATGTCAGAACTGCTGAAGAATCCAACACTAATGGAAAAGGCTAAAGCTGAGGTGAGAAAAGGCTTTAATGGAAAAGGGTTGTTGACAAAAACGGGTAAAGAAAACAAAAGAACACGAGAATTTTACGACGTTCGGCAATGTGCTTACGTCCTCGGTGCCTAGGCGGCGCAAGAAGTTTTATTCAATGATATTTTAGGTCTAGGTTACATCTCTATTTATAATAGAAAACACTGGTACATAATTACAAAATCAACCCTGTACCGTACCGCGGGGGCGCACCCCCAACCCACATAATTCGTAACCCCACAACGAGACTTTCTTTGTAAGGACAGTTTATGTTCGTTCGCTCACTCCGCTCCATCTCCTGTCCTCTTTACTGGTATATTTATGAGCCATACCTAACAAATCTCCACCTTGGCGAATATCCTGCCCCTTGGAAACTTCAATGTGGGTTGGGTTACCTTGCTTTTTTAACAACTCGAAACATTCAACAAGTCCAAGCAATGCTTGAACTTGTCTGTCGTAACTGGCTTGGTGAACATATCAGCGGGATTCTCATCAGTATGTACCTTCTGAAACAAAACCTCTCCAAATGCAACCAACTCTCTGATCTTGTGGAACCTTACATCAATATGTTTAGTTCTAGCACGATACACCTGATTCTTAGCCAAGTGAATAACACTTTGATTATCACAAAGCAACTGAACTCCACCATGTTGAACACCCAACTCCTTCACTAAACCAGTAAGCCATAAAGCTTCTTTTGCAGCTTCAGCCGCTGCCATGTACTCAGCTTCAGTTGTAGATAGAGCCACAACAGATTGAACAGTAGACTTCCAACAAATAGGCCCTCCACCAAGAGTAAAGACATACCCTGTCGTAGATCTTCTATTATCCAAGTCACCTGCATAGTCTGAATCCACATATCCTACAACCAAAGGATTATCCCGCTGACTCCCAAAAACAATTCCATGTCCCACAGTACCCTTTAAGTACCGAAAGATCCACTTGACTGCTTCCCAATGTTGCTTACCAGGTTTAGACATGTACTTACAAACTTGACTAACAACATGAGCTAAATCAGGACGAGCACATACCATCGCATACATCAAGCAGCCAACAGCATTAGAATACGGAACCTTTGCCATATCTTCAGCTTCCTTATCTGTCTTAGGGCACTGTTCTGATGAGCTTAAAGTGATTCTCCAATGGAGTGCTAACTGGTTTCGCGCTGCTCATCGCAAACCTTTCTAGCATTTTCTCAACATAACCCGTTGAGATAGCCGCAGTTTCTTGAGTCTCTGTCCCTGCAAATTTCCATTCCAAGATTTTCTTTGCAGCACCTAAATCTTTCATATCAAATTCCTGACTCAATAAAGTTTTCAAACCGATAACATCATCCATGTTCTTCGCAACAATCAACATATCATCAACATACAGTAATAGAAAAATAAAAGAACCATCATCAAGGCTCTTAACATAGACACAACAATCATACTCACATCGGTTGTAGCCAATCTTGATCATATAGGAGTCAAACTGTTTATACCACTGTCTCGGAGACTGTTTCAACCCGTACAAAGATTTATTCAATCTGTAAACTAAATACTCGTTTCCAGGTTGAGTGAAACCTTCAGGTTGCCGCATGTAGATATGCTCCTCTAAATCACCATGAAAAAAAGCAGTTTTAACATCCATCTGCTCTAAATGCAAATCCCAACTAGCCACCAATGCAAGTACTGCTCGGATTGAAGTGTGCCTGACCACAGGAGAAAAGATTTCATCATAATCAACTCCTTTCTGCTGTGAAAAACCCTTCGCTACCAAACGAGCCTTGAACTTCTCCCCCTCTTTTTATGTTACTGCTGGTTTCTTCTTATACACCCATTTGCAACCAATCGGCTTCTTACACTCAGGAAGGGGAACTAACTCCCATGTGCGATTGTGATTCAAAGACTCCATCTCCTCAACCATGGCTGCCATCCACTTGTCGTTTTCCTGACTAGTAACGGCATCATGAAAAGTAACCGGATCATCACTGCTAACAATAAGTACAAAAGATACCAAGTCTTCAAAACCCAATCTGTTCGGAGGCTTTATATTCGTCCGTCTCACCCTGTCTCTGGCGAGACTATAATCCTGCAAATCATCCGTAGTGGAACCACCAGAAGTCGGTTGAGAAGTTTCTGGTTTCTCAACTGGAAACTGCTCGAAATCCACCATTGTCGTGTCTTGCTTCTGCTGCAACATGGATTGTTCATCAAAAACGACATCTCTACTAATCACAACTTTCTTCGCAACTGGATCCCAGAACTTGAATCCTTTGACACCTTTCTTGTAACCCAGAAAAATGCACTCATTCGATTTTGCATCAAGTTTGGATCTCTCATCAGCAGGACAACAAAAAATCCGTAAGTTATCAAAACTAACATCATGACCAGTCCATACCTCTTCTGCAACTTTCGCAGCCAGCGATGCCCTTGGCGATCTGTTGATAAGGTAACACGCCATGTTAACAGCCTCAGCCCAGAAGTGTTTGGGAAGCCCCGCATTCAACCGCAAACATCTGGCTCTTTCATTCAATGACCTGTTCATTCGTTCCGCAACACCATTCTGTTGTGGTGTCTTGCGCACTATAAAATGCCTCTGAATCCCATGCTCCTTATAGAATTGTAGGAACTATGAATCTGTGTATTTCGTACCATTGTCAGACCGTAAACACTTTATTTTTCGTCCTGTTTGGTTTTCTACCTCAGTTTTCCACAGCTTAAACTTCTCAAAAACTTCAGATTTCTGTTTCAAAAAATACACCCAAACTTTCCGTGAAAAATCATCAATAAAAGTAACATAGTACCTAGATCCACCCAAAGACGATGTCGTGGAAGGCCCCTATACATCAGAATGCACATAATCAAGAATCCCTTGAGTTGTGTCGCAGTCTTAAAACGACTTTAGTCTGTTTACCAAGAACACAATACTTGCAAAAATCGAGCTTACAACTTTTGACACCATGCAACAAGTTTCTCTTGTGTAATTCTGCCATAAACACGTTCACTAAGATGAGCAAGGCGCATATGCCACAATTTGTCGTATCATCACAGGACTCAACAGAGTGAACTCCACCTGCAACGGTACTCCCTAACAATCTGTAGATATCCCTGCAGTCATCTTGCCTTTCATCACAGTCAATGCTCCTTTAACAATCCGAATGGTTTCTTATCCTCGTCAGCCTTAGGGATAAAACCATTCTTATGCAAAGTGCCCAAGGAAATCAATTCTTCTTCAAGTCTGGATATGTCGAACACCACTCAACGTCCGAACGGAGCCATCGTGCATCTTAATTCTGACATCACCAATACCAACAATATTACAACATCGATCATCACCCAAATAAACCGAACCAGAATTAACCGGCCTGTATGTCGAAAACATTCCCTATTTGCGTGATGTGATAAGAACATCCAGAATCAAGAATCCAAGCATCCGTCAATTGTGTCGTTGAAATAGAAAGCATATCACCCTCACTGCAATCAGAATTCATCCTCGACCACTTCAAGACTTGGAGCCATCACGCTTCTCATCAGTCTGTTTTTCAACTTCGGACAATCTCGCTCATATGTCCCGCCTCCTTGCACTGTAACAGTGAATCGTCTTCTATCCCTGGATTTGGATCTGGAATTTCGCTTCCCGGACCCTGCCTTCTCTGGCTTCGTCCACGATCTCGATTACCCTTACATATAAGCTATCGGCTTGAGAGCTTTCCCCTGCATTCTGCTTCGCTGGTTGTGAGCCAACAAGGCTGCAGTAATCTCCTCAACGTTGATAGTCTCTTTCCCATATGTAAGAGTAGTCACCATGTGTTCGTAAGTGGGAGGCAACGAACACAATAGAATCATCGCTCTATCTTCATCCTCAATTTTCACATCAAGCCGAGCCAGATCAGAAACGATTTGATTGAAGACATTCAGTGTTGCGCCAAATCGTGATCGTCCTGCATCTTCAACATAATCGTATGATTCCTGCCGCTCGCTGCTGCAATTCTTCCTAATCTTCCTCATCCATCGACCCTTTAAAGGTCGCAAAGCCTTCAAGATCCCTTGCTGCGCCAATAGATCCTTCACCCTCGTTTTCCATAATCCGAAGTTACCCTGACCATCGAATTTCGCGACTTCAAATTTTGCTCCTGACATCTGATACTAATTGTTGACAAAAACGGGTAAAGAAAACAAAAGAACACGAGAATTTTACGAGGTTCGGCAATGTGCTTACGTCCTCGGTGCCTAGGCGGCGCTAGAAGTTATTCAATGATATTTAGGTCTAGGTTACATCTCTATTTATAATAGAAAACCTGGTACATAATTAAAAATCAACCTGTACCGTACCGCGGGGCGCACCCCCGCACCCCCAACCCACATAATTCGTAACTCCACAACGAGACTTTCTTTGTAAGGACAGTTGATGTTCGCTTCGCTCACTCCACTCCATCTCCTGTCCTCTTTACTGGTATATTTATGAGCATACCTAACAAGGGTCTACCGATAAAGACGACTTTCGCGAACTGAAGTTCCTAAAATCAGTTATAAACGAAACATTGAGGTTGCACAATCCAGTGCCTTTAATACCAATGGAATGCCGTGAGAACTGTAAGCTTGGCGGATATGATATACCTGTTAAGACTAAAGTCATTATCAATTCATGGGCAATAGCAAGAGAGTCTAGGTACTGGAATGAGCCTGACACGTTTAATCCGGAAAGGTTCCTCGATAACTCACTAGACTATAGAGGAACTGATTTCCAATATATCCCATTCGGTGCTGGAAGAAGGATATGTCCAGGCATATCATCGCAAAGCCTTCAAGATCCCTTGCTGCGCCAATAGATCCTTCACCCTCGTTTTCCTAATCCGAAGGTACCCTGACCACGAATTTCGCGACTTCAAATTTTGTCCTGACATCTGATACTAATTGTTGACAAAAACGGGTAAAGAAAACAAAAGAACACGAGAATTTTACGAGGTTCGGCAATGTGCTTACGTCCTCGGTGCCTAGGCGGCGCTAGAAGTTTTATTCAATGATATTTTAGGTCTAGGTTACATCTCTATTTATAATAGAAAACCCTGGTACATAATTACAAAATCAACCCTGTACCGTACCGCGGGGCGTACCCCCCGCACCCCAACCCACATAATTCGTAACTCTACAACGAGACTTCTTTGTAAGGACAGTTGATGTTCGCTTCGCTCACTCCACTCCATCTCCTGTCCTCTTTACTGGTATATTTATGAGCTATACCTAACAAGGGTCTACCGATAAAGACGACTTTCGCGAACTGAAGTTCCTAAAATCAGTTATAAACGAAACATTGAGGTTGCACAATCCAGTGCCTTTAATACCAATGGAATGCCGTGAGAACTGTAAGCTTGGCGGATATGATATACCTGTTAAGACTAAAGTCATTATCAATTCATGGGCAATAGCAAGAGAGTCTAGGTACTGGAATGAGCCTGACACGTTTAATCCGGAAAGGTTCCTCGATAACTCACTAGACTATAGAGGAACTGATTTCCAATATATCCAATTCGGTGCTGGAAGAAGGATATGTCCAGGCATATCATTTGCTGTTGCTAATATTGAGCACCAACTTGCACAATTGGTGTACCACTTTGATTGGAAGCCCCCCAATGGAATGAAATATCGACTTGGACATGACAAGTGCACCGGGTTTAACGATAAGATGGAAACACGACCTGCTTGCGATTCCAGTTCCTTATCGTCCTACTCTTGAATAAAGCATGCATCAGAAATCAGAGATGTTCATTTGGCTTGTATTTGTTCAAGTCATTGTAATACATTGATAAAACAAGTATGAGCTTTATTCTGTTAAACCGTGGCAACGGGCTAAAACTTGGTAGTTTTATATGATATATAAAGTGTAATCAGTTATCTTTCATTATTTTTAGTGATTCAGTTTCATCTCCTAATGGATTCATTCTGCTTCTGCATACTTTTGGAATTCCAAGTTTTGTGATTTAGTTTAGGGATTGAATTGTGATTTTAAAATTTACGGGGACAAGTTTTGTCATTTCCCCTTCACTCCCCACTTGCAGAACGCAGCAAGCAAAACCTTTTCTTCATCAAACACAAGCCTTATTCCAAGAAGCCCCTAATGGTCTCGTGAAGAGACCACTCTTCCATGGGAGATTCTGTTTATTCTAATTGAACCTGAAATTTCTTTTTTCCTTTTCCCTACTATTGTTCAGAAAAGTTTAGATTTTTTTAAGATTATTGACCTTTTTAATGGAAATGGCACTTGAAACCTCAGTTCTCAGCCGACCAACTTTCTTTTCTTCAACAAAGTCTTCATCTTTCAGGATTTTAAATCGAAATTTTAAGTACCCATCAAAGTTTTTATCTAAAACTAATCACTACCCAGCTCCCATTATCTCAAGCTTTCCCAATTCCCATGTCGCTAAAGCCTTTGGATTTCCAAACACGGGTACTTTTGGAAGTCAAGCACGTTTGGGGTCGTTCATTGAAGAAAAGGAAGAACTGGGAAGTTATCAGAGCTTGATTTTTGTGAAAAGAGGAATTTTGGTGGCAATGGTTTGTGGTGTATTAGCATTTGGTTGCAAAAGAGTGTTTGCAGTAGATGGAGTGGTTAATGCCGGCTATGGAGTGATTGGGCAGTCCATATTGCTGTTGAAGAATACTTGGCCAAAGCTATCTATGCTTATTAAAGTTTTCAAGGAGCAAGGTTTGGTTTTGACAGCGCTTTTGGGTCTGTCTGCCTTCTTCTCAATGGCAGAGACTGCTATAACTACACTATGGCCTTGGAAGGTATTGGTTTCTTTGTCCCGGTATTGTATTACTTTTATACCTACTGGGTGCATTTTTTGGTTGTTAAAATGATGGAAATTAGAGTGAATAAATGTTGCAAGTTAGAACTTGAAAAGAATGCAGATGCTTTGCAATTTATAAATTCGGCCTTAGGGATATTTTGATTTTCTTTTTCCTGCTTGTGGTGCAAATTGCTTTGGTAATTTGATATATTTGGCTTAAGTTAATAATGTACTAGATTAAATTTTGACTTGCTATGATAACTCTCGGTATCAATCTCTTACTGATACGTGCTCAATCATAGTAATTTAGAAAAAGGAACCAATGATGGTATGCATGAGCTTAGAAATATTATGGAGAGAAAATAAAAATAGTATAGAAACACTAAAACACATTAGAAGGACATCATATAGAGATAGAAAGAGGAAAAACAGAGTGACAGAGAATAGAGAGAGAGAGCCGAGCAACTTAAATAAGCCATAGAGAACAACAAAATAAAGTGCGTATCGATTCAACTATTAAAGCCTAACACCTACTAATGTTGTTTAGTGTTGCATTTTGGTGAAGGATAAGGACAAGTATTTCGAAGTACAGATTTCAATTTAGTGTTAATTTAAAGTGGGTTGAAGTAGAAATATCATATGCAAGTTTTCTTCATCGATTGCTCATTTGTGTTAATCTGTGTAAGGTACGCGAGCTGGCCGAAAAAGATTCTGAAGATGGTGTATTCAAGATGCTTCGTAGTGATGTAACTCGGTTTCTCACAACCATTCTTATTGGAACCACGTACTTCTCTTCTCTTTCCATCACCTTGCTATGTTACGTTTCCATCTTTTCAGCTTAAACTTAAAAGTTTTTCTTATTGTGGATTTTATTTCTCTACTTAGTGTGGTTAATATTGGAGCAACTGCTTTAGTCACAGATGCTGCAACAGCAATATTTGGGGAAGCTGGTGTTAGTGCAGCAACTGGAGTAATGAGTGTATGTATCAATATCCTGTGCTTTGGTTTGTTTTCTTGAGGGGCTGTGTGGTGCCTAACTGCACATCTTTGAGTCTTTCTCTATCATGCGAAAGCCAGTAAAATAATAAATCAGTTAACTTATGGTTGGCCAGCATATGAATATATAAACATGAGAAATGGAATATATAATTTGGTGAAATAAATACAGAAACCAGTTAACTTTTCTTGAATGGTGCTAGGTTGCCATATTGCTTCTCACTGAAATCACTCCAAAGAGTATAGCTGTTCACAATCCCACAGAAGTTGCCAGATTTGTGGTACGATTTTTCTTTTCACCCCCCATCATTTGGGTATTTAAATTTCACTACAAGTCGGATGTATCTTAAAATAGTATAGCTTTTTCTTCCTTCCTTTTTTTTCCTGTAGGCTTCAGGGCTCTCTTGGTACTTTGCGGAAGTTATCATTTCCAATTTAAAACTGACTGCCTACTTGTCGTTGCAATATTTCTAGGTCAGGCCAGTGGCATGGCTTTCTGTAATACTATATCCAGTGGGACGAGTTGTCACATATTTATCAATGGGAATGCTCAAAATTTTTGGTCTAAAAGGAAAAAGGTGAAGAAAAAACCTCTCTCATTTTTAATTATATCTACAGCTTCTAAATCATTGATTATTTTCTGTGCTGTTTCTTTCTATTGATTTTGTCAAAATTTCAACATATGTCTTCATTGTGTTATTTGCTTTCTGAATGCCTTATGCATTGTCTCTTTGTTTTCAGTGAACCTTATGTTACTGAAGATGAATTGAAGCTAATGTTACGAGGAGCAGAACTCAGTGGGGCAATAGAGGAGGAGGAGCAGGTAGCCACATATATCACATGCTGTACAAGTTCACATCTCGTTTAGTTTTCGATTAACGCATTGTAATTTATCTGCAATAGATATTTTTTCTATCATCCTCGGTTCTTGAAACGCCCAGTAGATTTTATTTGTTGTTAGACCAATCTGTATGTAGAACTTTATCCTCGGTGAACTTCTCAAATTATGTTATTGATGTTAAGTTATCTTCTGAATTGGGATTGTTTTCTGTTTGTACATGTATCAATAAACAAATTTTTGAGTTCAGTGAGGTGCATAACATGAAACGGTTCTGTTGCATATAGTAAGTCAGAACTCCCATGCAAAATGGATCTTTAGAACTCGTTCTCGGTTTCTCTATTGGGCTGAAGCTCAATACGATTATATTCTTCCCCCCAATGGTATCTGGTACAATGCCAATGTACTGTCCCGTTGCACTTATTGCTCTCTATGGTCCATGTTTATACTTGATACAGCTCAAATCCAAACCTCTCTCTTTGTTTATGGTTTTCATGTGCTCTTATTGCTGGAATCCTCTTGCAGGATATGATCGAAAATGTGTTAGAGATAAAAGATACTCATGTTAGAGCGGTGATGACACCTCTTGTTGATGTAGTTGTAATTGATGCAAGCTCAACTCTTGTTGATTTCCACGATTTGTGGTTGACTCATCAATATTCAAGGTAGAGAATCTTATTAACCCATCACTCAGGTTCTTTTCAACTCAATAACATGCTAAGAAATTTGTTGACATTTATTTAGGGTGCCTGTTTTTGAGCAGCGTGTTGACAATATAGTGGGTATTGCATATGCTATGGATCTACTAGATTCTGTTCCAAAGGTCTGACAATTTCTGGTCTTAAATCATTTTCCGATCATATATAAGACATTAATGTGTGCAAAACTACTATAGTGTGCAAAATTATAATATGCTTGATTTTGAAGGGTGGACTGCTAGAAAGTACTACTGTGGGGGATATGGCTCACAAGCCTGCATTTTTTGTGCCTGGTAATTTTGAAACTTATATCTTCTGTTTATTTTGTGCGTTGAATTAATTTGCAGATGAATTTTGCCTTTTTGTCTCTCTATCCATTAGACCGAATGACAGCTTCAGTTAATTACCATTCATTAACATGTTTTGTCAACATGTCATTATGGATTATATTATGAGAAGCGATTACAAATAGAATTGTCAATTTGTTTTGCAGATTCAATGCTAGTCTGGAATCTTCTTAGAGAGTTCCGCATTAGGAAGGTTCACATAGCTGTTGTTCTTAATGAATATGGTGGAACAGTTGGAGTAAGTACTATAAATTTTTGAATTGATTTTGAATTTATATTAGTAGTCTTTAATAATTCCTACCTGTTGAGAACCTCGAAGTAAGACAGTTCAACATTAACATGAGAATTGAGATTGAGCGTGGAACAGTGTTCCTGCATTTGCAAAGTTGAAAAAGATGTCAAAGTGTTTCTAAATCCTTTTATCTCTTGTTAAAAGTTCGTTGAGTGGAGTCTGCGATGTGCTCGAATCTTAGCAAATGCGGCAGGCAACAACTAATCTGCATTTCTACCTACCCCTGCTCTCTTTAGGATTGCCCCTCGTATTCTTTTGTCTTATTTTTTTAATGCTGAAACAGATAGTCACCTTAGAAGATGTGGTTGAGGAGATTGTTGGTGAAATTTTTGATGAAAATGATTCAAACGTAAGTCTTGCCATATCTTTGATGACTTCATCAATGACTTAGTTCTTCTGCTACAGACTTTAATTCCTAATCATTAAGATTTATTCAAACTGCTGCTTTTCATTACAGTCCAAAACCAGTTAATATGATTGATCTACATCAATTTTCTGCTCAGTAGTACACTGTGCTGGTTCCCTAGCTTGTGAACTTTATTTTCAAGTTTCTTTGGGCTTGAAATATTTTTATTTTTTTCTTGCTATGACAGGAGGAGATCCAGAAGAAAACTGGCTACATTGTGATGCGAGCAGAGGGAATCTTTGATGTTGATGCTAATACATCTATTGATCAACTTTCTGAAGATCTAAATATCAAAATGTCCGAAGTATGTTACTCGTATTAATTGATATAATGCATAAGTTCTCATTCTACTCGCTAGTTTCAGCTAGTATAGTTGAAATGTTTATGGATATGCACTGAGGTGTTAAAACGGAGTGTCGTCTGTTAATATCTATACTACATGAAAAGGAGCTTTCAATTGGACCTCCCCTCACACCATCTTGTATATTTCTTTCATTCTCTTTGCTGTTTTATAGGAACATCAATATGAGACAGTGTCTGGTTTTGTCTGCGAAGCATTTGGTTATATACCAAGGACAGGTGAGAGTATTAAGGCAGTCCTTGAAAAGGAAAATGAAGAAGAAGATGATGAGAATTCTGAAGATGGATCTGATCAACAAGATCTGAAGGAAAGGCATCAAATATATAAACTTGAGGTATGGTTTGAACCGTGTACCATATGTGTTTATATTGTTTGGCATTGCTTTTGAATAATGTCATTGTTTATAAGTGTTCCTCAATGGTGTTTGGTCGGATCTGGACGGAACGAGTGCAGCTAGAATATTTTTACATATGGAAACTAATCAGAATCTCTTAACCAAGAATGGAACAGTTGAAATTCCAAACATTTAGTAATTGGAATTATGAGAAACTTCGGTTATTAGGATATTATCCTTGTAAGTTGTAAATCCGGGTCTTCTACCTTAATGGTGAAAGCGAAGTGATCCATCTCCCTTTCTCTGCCAAATCACTAAAATATGATATTCCTGACGAATATCATGAGATTTATTCCAAATTTTAGTATATCTTCCTGCAGATATTTCATTAACCTGACAACACATGGGCTAGATGATCAGTTATGTCACTAACATATTATTGTGGCCAACATGTTTCTGGTGCAGATATTAGCAGGAAATGCCCGGAAAGTTAGTGCCGTTCGATTTGAGCGGATAAACAATGAAGTAGAACTATTACATGCCACAGCAGTAACTCCGATTATTCCGAAAATCATAAAGAGGAAATGGAGCAGTGATGAAGACCCAAATAGTGGTAACTATGATGAAGATAGATTAAAAAAGAGGCAAGAGGAAGAAATATCAGATCATTATGTAATTGCTGACTATAAAGAGGATACTGATAGTCCCAATGAACAGTAGTTAATAATAAACCATTTGTCAATAATTTCCCCCTGAACACCCTCCTCTTCCCCTTCCCCATTTCTTACACCTCAACAAGAAGAGGTAAAGGTTTGAAAAACGGGACGAAAAAAAGAAAAGAAAAGAAGACTAACATTGTACAATTTTTCACAGATGAAGTGAAGTGTCAACATCTGAATCATTAAAGGTGGATGCACGCATGACTGTATCTCTCAGCCACAAATTTGACAAACTTGAAGTATCAATAACCTGATGCCGAGCATGCATGCCAGTTTGACTGTAGATAGATCCTTGGAGAGGAGGTCTTGGCTGAAGGATCAATTCAGAATGAAAAAACGATTGGGGAGCCTGATGAAGTGTGGCATGATTGATCCGCTGCGCTTCAGAGAGCAGCCGTGAAACCTCTCTCTCCTGCCTCATTTCCTTGGCTCTCTGCAACTGTCTGAACCTCTCTTGCAAGAGGGCAATCGACGAATGAACGGCCAGGTCACTCTGCCCACCCATTTGCAAAAACGAAACGAAGCCTACCTAGGGTGCTAAGCAATATGGTATAAGATGATTTGATATTGCTATATTCCTATATATAGGACAGTAGTAAGCTTTGAAATCGTTAATCTATTCAATGTGAAGCACTTTAAGTGATTTCTCAATGATGTAAAAGATAAAGGCACGTAGAATCGGCCACCGAAACGCGAAGTCAAGAAGGCAGAGTTATGTGGCAATGTGTTTGAGGTAAAAGTACATGATAAGAAGGAAAAGGTGAGAAATAAAAATCCAAACTTTGATGGAATGTAGCATTTGGAATGGCATGTTTTGCAGAATAAAAGGATGGTCTATGATGCTCTGTCGACTTGTTGCCAAGAGCTATTGGCCTTTGAAGAGGATAGTGCCCCTTTTTGGTGGGGGATTTGGTGAAGATCTTATATTATTCTCACCTTTCAACATTCTCTTTTCGCTTTGTTGAGAAAGCAAAAAAAGAAAAGAAAGTGGAGACAAAAGTTGGAACAGGGAATATATTTTGGACTTTGGGGTTTTGATGTTTTTCACAATGGAACCCCATTTTTTTATCAGCAAGTAGTTGGATGAAATGGCATGAAAGGCAGCAAGATGTTGGATTCGTTTTGCGGCTCTTCTTGTTGGTATGTATTTTGCCTTTGAACCCTTCATTGTTGGAAGATGGTGCATAAGCTCAAAAGCAGCCTACCCCAAACGAAACCAGCTAAATGGGGAACCGAGTGATGTAACTTTTTTTTTCTAGTTTTCTTTTGTCTGAGACATCAAATTTCCAATGGTGATGGTGTTGGTAAACAATACAAACTATATTGGTTAAATATAGAAATTAAATTCCTTTCATCCTATTAACAAATTATAGCTCATGAAACTGCTAAAACCAAGCTTATAAATAATGATGAATAGTGATTAAGCTTGTATTGGATAGTAATGGATGAAAGCTTGATTCATTAATGGATGAATAGTGAAAGTCTCCTGCATTTGATTCCAGTCTATGTTCATATCTTTGGGATCCCTAGCAATAACAGCAAAAGCAATTCAACTGTTGGTAGTCCTAATCATTTGCAAAGACTCAAAAACCAGAACCAAATACCTGGAAAAATATATAAACCACATGTCAAATTTCAAATAAAAAGTGTATCTGTTTCCACCATGTGGTTCACTGATTGTTTCTTGCTGTAGTCTCCTTAGGGTCTGATAACTCTATAAAATGACTCATTGTTAGTGCTTCTTCTGGCAACCATAATGCCAGATCAAACAAAGCAACTATTCTGGTGAAATCTCACAATTATGGAGATAAACTACTTGTTTTCTTCCTACACTTTGTTTCAAATAAAATTGAAATCTCAAAAAGTTTATTTGATGTTGCAGCAAAAGATTGTTGTTAAGGTATCAATGCAGGGTGAGAAACGCCGAACCGGGGCTCTCAAAATAGCTGCTGCAGCAGATGGTATGTATATATAATATATATCTGTCGACCAAATCTTAAATTATCAAAAGAGATTTAAGAAATGGTGCTTTTGGTTAATCTTTATTTCGTTAATGACAAAGGTGTGGTATCAGTGGCATTATACGGTCCACGGAAAGATAAACTGATGATAGTTGGAGATGGGGTTGATGCAGTCTGCTTGACTAGTTCCTTGAGGAAACAGCTTTCCCCTGCAAGCTTGGAGACAGTGGAAGAAGTGAAAGACCCAAAGCCCATGAGTAATCCAATTATATGTTGTCTTCCTCCACAACCTCAGCCAGAGTTTTTCACAGTGGTCACTGATCCCCATCCAAGCCCTTGCGCTGTACTTTGGAGATATAACACACACACACACAGACTCATTATTATCATATAATTGGCATCAAGCAGCAGAGATTAATATTTTCCTAGTCTGCTGATTTTTCATACAATTTCCAGCTTTGGTTCTTCAAATATCCAGGTTTTCTTCAATAATCACATCATGATTTTCCATGCAATTTCCAGCATTGCATCATCAGTACACTTCAAATATCCAGCTTGTTATACAGTGTAATAAGTTTTTTCTCCTAATTTTCTTTCTTAGTTCTCTTGGTAATCCGCTCAATCTCTTTTTCATTTTGTCTTTGTTGATTGTCGACGACACCAATTTTAATGTTGGTTGTCGACCGTCGGTATTCTTTATTGTCCTTTTATTTTATTTTCTTTTGTTACAAGATTAAGAATATTAATGGGTAATGGCAATCAAAAGAAAATAGATAATTATAATTAAGGTCCAAATCCTTTAAACAATGTTTTTCTTATTAAAAAAAATCCAGAATTCTCTTCATCCATATATTAGGAGATATTAAAAACTTAAGCGCACTCGATCTCACATCCTCTTGTGTAAATATATCAACAACAATAACAACTAAATTAAACTAAACTTCAACTGTCAATAATTGTTTCTTAAATGCCTGCAAATTAGAAAGAGAATAAAAATAACCTAATTAAAGAAGGAAATGGTCTCAATCAATTCCAAGTTATAGTAAAAGGATGACCTCTAAAGTAAAGGGACCAAAAGTTGTCATCATCAAAATGCACAAACAACACTATATATACAAATAAGACAGACAGGGGCAATAGCTGTGCCGACCATTTGTTGATGGGGCCCCAATATGTAAAAGACAAGCCTTGATAAAGACCACGCATCCTTAAAATCTATGTTTGATGTTGATAAAGTCCGATATTATTGGCTATCTTTCATGTGCCACCAATGGTTGTATGATACTGTCATATCAACTCAATGTATGAACATGTGAATAGTTGTATAAGATTAACACAGAGTTAAGACAAGTTATCTTTTCGATAAATTATCTTATTGATCCCTTAATTTTGAAAGTACTCACATTTTAGTCTCGGGTTCGAGATGAAATTCATTAGAAGAGAGATGGATTGTATAATTTAAGTGATTAAGATGGTGATGTAACCAGGAAACAGACCGGGTCGAGATTTCGGCCAATTCAACATGACTCGAGAAACATACTCTCTCCACCCGGACCTGACCTAAATTAAGTTTAGAGAAATCTCACTCAATTCAAAATTCGATCTGAATTTTGGGATAAAAATCATCGGTGGATCCAGGAATATTTTCTTGGGTTAAAAACCTAAAACTTTTGTATATGAGTAGCCACAAATATGATAGACAATGAAATTGTGGGGGTTAGGACGTGTATGTAGTGCTATATAAGCCAATAAGCTCTTGTGTATTAAGTCAAGTAATTTACATTAATTGTGATTTCTTCGGTGATGGATTTAAAAATACTTTTAAGAATAGACATATGTGTATTAATAACATAACATTTTTGTATATAGATGGACACAAATAAAATCTCAAAATGGACACAATGAATAAAAAAATCTAACAAAAAATTAATTCAGATTTTAGGACCAATACGTAAATCTATAAGTGCTCCTCTCTCTCTACACTAGTGTGGAAGTAATTAACCAAGATTTTAAAGCCTAACAAGGGCAATGGAGTCACTTTCTCTTCATGTCAACAAACCCTTTTGAGAATGACTTTGGGTACCAAATGGCTCAAATTAAGCTACAAATAAGTATGCACAAAAGAGAGAGAATTGATGCATTAGAGGAAAAATTAAAATGGGTTCCCTCCTTTTTCCTTTTGGATAGCCTTTTTGAATCCAATTTGGCCTTGTTTTTCAAACATATGAACCATATATTGCCTGGAAAAGATTGGCACTGATTAGGTGGGAAACATGTGAAGCAACTCAGCAAAAAGAAAAGAAAGAGACCTTACTCATTAGCATGCAAAAAGCAGCTCATAGCCATGTTAAAGTTTGACTAGCTACCAACAATCGGGTTTCAAATGATTGTCCATTTTTGAAATTTTCTAGGATATTTTGTATATGATCCCGCCCTATATTGCATGTATTTTTCAATATATATGATGAGAGAAGAATTTCGAAAAATATTTTTTTAGAATAGAGGAAGGGATAAGTGATTGATCAATAATCAAATTCGAGACTGATGTTAATTAGCATACTATTCACGATTCAATTAATAAATTGAGGTTCCTTTTATACAATACATGTATTATCTATATAATTTCTCAGAACTTTTAAGATAACTGTATTTAAATATATTCAGTTAAATTGAAATTTAATAAACGGCGGTAATTAAGATAGCATGTATATATAATAATGTAGGCAATAAATGTTTAAAATAATATAGTAATAATTCAGTGATAATTAATCATAAATAGTATTATGGTAGAAAATATTAATTATAAATTGAACTTTGTCTAGAGGATACGAGTTCCTAAGCTTCAAGGTCCACTCCAACAAAGATACACTTCTAGCGGAGGATCTTCATGAATTACATAATTAAATAGATCCGGAGAATAATGACAATCAAACCACGACATTAATTATTTAATTTTATTTTTTAAATACAAAATTCTTTTGTTTTGACCTATGAACCCCTCATGTCCAGCCTGTAGAATTGGTCACCACCTTCATGAATATGTCCTCTTCAAATTTTCCTCTACCCCACCATATTTTTAGGTAAATTATCCATTCTGTACCTCACCTATTATTTTTTTTTTCAATTAACCTTTTTTCATAAAATTATGTCTAACATTATGTTTTATTTCTACTTTTGTCACCGATCATAAACTTTTCATTAAAAATTAACATAGATGATATGTAATGATACAATAACAGTTTTAGTTTCAAAACTTATATACTTTAACAATTAGATCCTAAGTCTCAAGTATATGGACCAAACTCCAAATTTCTTAATTTCTCAACCTCTTTTTCAATTTTCCCATGCAAGAAAAGATAACGACATACCGTGACACTGACGAGAAACAATGAAGGCAACTACCACATCGACATTCGACCACACCCTATACTTGTCCACCACCATTTTCATTCACTTAACATTAGTGAATGAATTAAAGAACTATACCATGTCATATTATTTTTGTTAAATTTTAATAGAAACTTAATGATTGAAGACTAAAATATAAACAAAACATAACATTAAGTATGATTTTATTTAAAAAAATAAGTAAGTGATCAAAACAAAAACGCAAAATAAGTGAGATACCAAATAAATTGTTTAACCTATTTTTAAAAAATTATCAATCTATCCTGACTGTTCATATTTGTCTCAAAACATTTTTTTCAATTTATTATATTTTTGTGAAAAATAAAATTAAATTCACCAGTGAAACTAAATTTTAAATGATTACATCAATAACTTTTTCAAGTATATGGTAAATTAATTTATAATTGTATATTTAGAAATAAACTTAATACACTTTTAAATGCCTAAACTATATCTCAAATTGACTTTTGGTTGTTAAATAAAATTTCGCTAAAAATAGGTGCTTAACGTTTCCAACGTTAAACATTTAAGTCCCAAGACCGTAACGACTATTAAATTTGGTCGTTATCTGACACATGTCATGCATATAAATTTTCAAAAAAAAATATTTTTAAAAAAGATTTTATATTATAAATAAAAAAACCCAAAATTTATTTTTTTACCATCGATCGGTTACTGTCGGTCTGTGGCCGTCACCATTGACACCATCAAAACCGTCTTGCCACCGCGACCAAAATCCAGTCTCCCACCCTCCTGCAACTGCACCGTTCATCGTGAAAAAAGCCACAAAGTGTTACCAAATTTCTAAGTTTTCCTTCACCTTTTCGACGATTTTGATAACTACAGCTAGTCGTACGTTACACAACTGTCACCATTGAGATCTTTACGTTTTTATGAACAAAATCTAGTCGGTGGTGACCCTTTGTCGTCATATGAGGTGGGAGGATGGAAAGGAGAGGGATGACACGGGGTTATTTTTTAAATTTTTTGTTCTTTTTTACAAAAATAATATTTTTATTATTAAAAAAATCATAAAATATAACGATATGCACCTATAAGTGTAACGGAGAAAACGTTAGACACTTATTTTTAACAAAAAAAATTTAGACACAAAAAATCAATTTAAGATATAATTTATACAGTTGAAGGTGTATTAAGACTTAGAAATATATATAAAACTATAAAAGTGTGTGACAATAAAGGTGTGTACATTAGCATGTAAAGTGTGTTTAATATGTAAAATCATGTTAAGTTAATATTACTTTTAGAGCTAATTGCATCATATGTCCTCAAACTATATTTTAAATTGGTCATTAAGCTTTTGAATATTCTAATATCATCCCCAAACTATGCCTATCATTCTAAACTAGTCCTTAAACTTTTGAACATTTCAATTTCATCCCTAAACTATGACCCTCTTTCTAAATTAGTACCCAAACTTTTTTAACATTCCAATTTAATCCCAAATTTACCCAAACTTGTAATTAGTTTCAACCCTAATTTAACCTAAATTTTATTTTTTCCAAATATATAATAATATAACTTGGCCTACCGGTTTTATTAACAAGAGATGTGATTAGTATTTAGTATATATGTATAGTTTGGGATGAAATTGGAATGTCCAAAAAGTTTGGGGACTAATTTAGAATGAATGTCATAGTTTGGGGATGGAATTGAAATGCTCAAAAGTTTAAGGACTAATATAGAATGATAGTCATAGTTTGGGATGAAATTGGAATATTTAAAAGTTGAGGGATCAATTTAAATGATGGGCATACTTTGAGGACATATGATGTAATTAACTCTTACTTTTAATATCAATGCAAATTAATTATGGTAAATATATTTATTAACGCTTTAAAAATAATATTATTAAAATAATAATTATAAATCTTAAAACATAGACGTAAAACATACCTCAATGATAACTTGGTTCTAAAAAATATGAAAAAGAACATTAATTTGCAAAGTATAGTAAGGTGCATGTGATCTCTATGGCCCTCAGCAATCTATACCGTTGACTAATCATTATCATTTGCCATCGAACGGTAAATGTTTAAGTAGAGTTATCTCCTTCGAAGATAAAATACAATCCACGTTTGAGCCACTCAAGATATTCAATTTTGCCTACACGTGTATTGGAAATCTAAATTTAGCACATTG